GAACCACTGATGGTACCACCTCCCTAAAACTTTAGGATTACATCAGCAAAGCCTTTTATGAAACATACCAATTCTTCCCACTCCATGTGAAGGAAGACAGAGAGTAAAGGGTGAGAGGCTAATCTTTTCCCAAGACAGTGTTTGGATCTAGCAGAAGTATATCCTTTCACACTCAAAATTCATTCTAGTCCTTCAAAATATCATATAAAATATCAAGCCAATTTCTGCTATATCTACCTAAATCCAGTAATGGAGAATGTCAAGACATAGTAGAAAGAGCACTGAACCAGTAGTCAGAAACTTTGCTTCTAATTCCAGTTCTGCTAGGTACCACCTGACTGGCCTTGGGCAAGCTTACACTCAGGTTTACATTAGGCAATGGGGCTGTCAAGGTCTGTAGCACCTCATATAGGACTTATGAGCATATACTGTGTAACAAGGATTAAGAGTGCATGCTTTAGCATCAGACAGCCTGATTTTAAAGCAATTCCCTGCCACTTAGATGTCTCGCCTTGAGCACTTCACTAATTTTTTCTAACTTTAGTTCCGTCATATGCTAGTTAAAGTTATAGAAATGAAAATGCATATGAGAGCCGCCTGGCTGGTTCAGTGGGTGGAGCATATGACTCAATCTTAGGGTCATGAGTTCAAGCCTCATGATGTACATGAGATTATCATGTACATTTCCAATGAAGGTAGTCACTGGTCATTATACTTATATTTTTGAGAAGGCAGATTTCAAAAACTTCAAAGAAAGTTAAATAGAATTCAATGAAATATAATTGGGAGAGGGACAGGGAGTGGACCAAGAAAGTTGGGAAACTATGAGAAAGAAATTGCTGACACTACAATAGTGTACCACCCAGATGAGTAAGTAAAGAAAGCCATATGGAAGGAGATATGTGGCTATACAAACAGCTTTTCTGATGGGCTCAGATCCAAAAACATATAAATTAAAGATGAGAGATGGGGCATATAACCAAGACAATTTTAAAACAGTGACACAAACCTCCCAGAATAGAGGCAGGAACACTTGCTTTCGACCAAAATGAACTAAGGTGTGTGAAAAAACATTCCGAAGCAAGAAAAAAGACTGCTTTATTTGTGTTTTGTTTTTTGCTTGTTTAAAGAAGACTAACAAGAAAAGAGTAAGAGCTTGATTCCTTGGGGATAATATTGTCATATTAACTTGCAAGCAGAGGAACCTGAGTTTCTCAGGACCTGTTTTGCTTTCCTCCAATTTCTGTCAGGAATATTTATTGAGCAGCTGCTATGTGTCAAACATCGTTCCAAACACTGAGCGTTTTATAATGATGTGATATAATCGCTCTTGTCAAGAGTTTGAGAGTCCAGTAAGAAGATAGGCATGAAAATAAATAAATATAAATTATATAATTAAATGTGCTAAAGTAATTATAGTAATGGAGGTGAGTATGAAACCCAAGGGAAACATAACTAAAAAATTACCCAAATCTGCCTGGGTTTCTAGAGGACAATTCACAGAAAGAATAGCATTTAGACTGAGACATCTCAGTTAATGAAATGCTGTACAAACTGGAAAGGATAACAGATAAAAGATAAGAATATACTAGAATTTTCTGTCATGTTGAATGAGTTTAGCTCCATTGATCCTGGTGAATTCTTTCAGTTTGCTAAAAAAAATTTACTAAGATTTCATAATGCCTATCAAATTTTGGAAATAGTAGAGAACCAGAGAAATTCCAGAAGACTAAAAATTAGTAAATATTTAGACTTTCAATTTTAAGAGGAAGGATTCAGTGAAAGACAATGTTGTGGATTGTTTGAGAGGACAGGCTCCAAATTTACACTGCTAAGATGGAGTTCTGGCTTTACTCCTTACTGTTGTGTAACTTTAACTAAGTTATTGAATATCTCTGTTTTTCAGTTCCTCATCTATAAAATGGGAGAATAAGAGGTTCTATTCAAAAAGGTTGTAGTGAGAATTGCATGGAAAGTGCTTAGAAGAGTACCTAGTACATGATAAGCTCTCAATAACTGTGAGCCATTTTATAATTCTACAAACTGTAGATGAAATGGTTGGCCTCACTCACAAGAAAGACTCCAAAATATAAGGTTTAAAGACTCTTACCACAGAAAAGGAAGTGATGATATTTTAGGACGAGGGTGGGTTCTCTAAAAACAAGTCGTTTCAGACCCCCATACATTTCCAGTATTGACCCATGTGTCTTGCCGGCATGGGAAAGGGATTTTGTGGACCCAGAACATATGGATTTTATCAAGGAATTTTTCAACCCTTATAAAAAAGATGAGAAATGCATACAGGTTGATGTTCTGATTGGGCATGTCCTTAACTAAGTCAATGAAAGGATCTTGCCCAGTACCCAGGGAAGGAATGTACACGGAAGGCTTTAGTAATACACACAGATGAAGAACTATGCTAGACACCAGAGAAACAAAATAAAATCATATTCCTATTCTCAAGGAGATTATAATAGATTAGGGGAAATAGATGTTTATACAAATGCTTACTATAATAACAAATATATGTCAACTACTATAGAAGGCAGAGTCGTCCATTCTGCTTAAGTGATCATGAAAGGCAAAGAGGTCCCAGCAGGGAAGATACTTGGACTAGTTTTGAAAGCTGGCTTCTTGACCTTGTTAAAATATTTTGAAAAACACCTCGTCATGTTATTTTAACTACCAAAACTTCAAAATATATGATTGTTCTAATGACAATAGTTCTATCTATTTATTGCTAAAACAAAACTATCCAAAATAGTTATAATTAAAACCATCATTAGTACAACCATGTCTTATTGTTCAGGATTGGAGTTTTCTTAATTTTGCTCCTCTGGCAGAGCCTCCCCTCCCCTCTATTGCTTCTATCACCACAGACCCCCTCCTCACCTGAGCTGTCTTGGTAGCCTCTTGGGTGGCTTTGCTCTGCCTTGCCCACCCATCTTTCACCATGCCACCTGAGCTATCTTCTCCAAAACAGATCCCATCAAGTTGTAAACTCCTAAAATAAAAAATAAAAAGTCCCTAAATAGTAAAGCATAGATTCCTTGGACCAGCTCTACAGCTACTTGGGATTTGGCCTCTTGTCCTGTATCAGCTCCCATCTCCTATCTCCACAAGCCACCTTTGCCAGGCCATGGGACCACACCTGCTCTCTTCCACATTTCTATGCCTTTGCTTGCACTTCTCCCTCTGCCTGGAGGGCTACCTCCTACTGTGTCATCACACATAAATTCAAATACTCCACCTTCTCTCATTTGGCTAGAATGTGTTATTCCTTTATTAGAGCCCTATACTTATCATAAGACTTGCTTCTTTCTTTGTTTCTTTTTTTTTTTTTTAGATTTTATTTATTTATTTGAGAGAGAGAGAGAGAGCACATGTGCACAAGTGGGAAGGAGGGGCAGAAGGAGAGAGAGAAGCAGACTCCCCACTGAGCAGGGCAGGGAGCCAATGCAATGCAAGAGCTTGATCCCAGGACCCTGAGATCATGACCTGGGCTGAAGGCAAATGCTTAACCGACTAAGCTGCCCAGGTGCCCCCCTTGCTTCATTCTCTATTGTATTGGGTGAAATAATGGAAAAAGAACTGGGCTAGGATTTGGACTATCCAGATTCCAATTCCCGCATTACTTCTTTTCTTCACCGTGTCTCAGTTTTCCCATTTGTAAATGAGAAATGTGGGATTAATTACAGACAGTCCCTAACTCATGATGATTTGACTTATGATTCTTCGACTTTACAATGTGCAAAAGCGATACACATTCAGTAGAAACTGTACTTCAAATTTTGATCTTCTTTGATCCTGGGCTGGTGATATGTGGGACAATCCTGTCTCACGATGGTAGGCAGGGGCAGTGAGCTGCAGCTCCCAGGCAGCCGGGCAGTCAGGAGGATAATCGACTGATATCATTAACAACCATTCTGTATCCATACAACCACTTCGTTACTTTCAGTATAGTATTTAGCAAATTACGTGAGATACTCAACACTTTATTATAAAATAGGCTTTGTGTTATATCATTTTGCCCAACTATAGGCTAATGTAAGTGTTCTTCTAGCAGGACTAAACTAATCACATTTCTCCATGTCAACCCCTAAGCACATGATAAGTTTATAGCAATCAATTCTGTTTAAAGTGTCTTAAGAAACTTGAAGAACTTGACCTACATTAACTAAAGACACCTGAATGATTGCTCGAGCCTGAGTGGCAGCTGTAGCTGATCCCCCCCCAACACACACTTCTCTCCCCTTTTAAAAACTCCTGCCTACATGAACAGGGAAGGTGGTTTTTTGGGACATTAGTTTGCCATCTTCTCAGTTAATTGACTTTCTCAAATAAAGTTGCTTTCCCTGTGCCAACACCTTGTCTCTTGACTTGTTGGCCTATCATGTGGTGGGCAGATGGGACTTAGGTTTGGTAACAATTTTGGTGAGCCTGCCAGGAGAGTTTGCTCATGGTTAGCTAGCCCAGTGCTGGGAAGACTTTGGGAATGGTCCCTATAAACTTCTAGAACTGCTTTCAACCATGGACCCTCCCTTCATTTTTGAGGTCAGTGTAGTTTACCCCAGCTTTCTGTAGGAGCAAGGAGCCAACCTCTGGATGAGTTCACAGACTCAAATACTGGGTGGGTTGCTGCTCCAGTTTGTACAACTGGAACGCCCTTTCTTTGCTGTTTGTTTCTGTTGCTTGAGGTAATTGGCTAGTAAAATTAGTTGTTGGACTTTTTATCCAATTTGGTTTTGGATTGTCAAGTAAGCAGCTTTTTTGTAATTGTGTGTGATAGTCATGGGAAGTTTAATACCTGTTCTACCTTGACAGGCTGTTTGAGTGCATTTTGAAGAAATAGCCCAATTTCAGATAGTCGTCCATGTCCAAGAAAATGACCCTTTATTGTGACACAGCATGGACACAAAATATACCCTGGAATCTGTGAATGATGGATTTTAAACAGCTCCTTGAATTATCATACTGCTTTGAAATTGGAGTTGTATTGCCAGAGATCTGGCAAAGATGATGAGATTCCCCTGTGTGCAAGCTTTTTTGCTCCTCTATCAGGAGGAGACTAAAAGGGAAGTTGATGGCACAGAGACCAGAAAAAAAGGCTATTCCTCTGGTACTATAAGAAGATGGGGCAATTTAAGGGAGGAAGAAGGCAGGATGATGTTATAAGCTCTAAATCCTTTACCTGTCCTTCCACCCTTGCCTCCTCTAGCCAATTTTCCATCTCCTTTGGCTGAAACACTTTAGCTTCTGGAAACTGCTGGGGCTTTAACTCCTCCTCAATAGGATACCAGGGAAGCACCAGGGCCTGGAGTAGTCTCCCCTTATAAGAACATCAAAAGACTCAATTTGGCTAGGAGAAATTCTAGCCAGAGCAGAGCAGTTCCCTGCTGTGGTATAAACCAGCATGGACAACTGGCCAGATACTTATGGACTTACAGTCCCTTTTCTACTTCAGATCTGTTGAATTGGAGGAACAATAATCTCTCTTACCAGGCTGATCCCCTTGAAATGACTGAGCTATTTACCTCAGTATTTGCAACTTACTGACACTCTTAGGCAGATATTCAAACTCTTAAATATGCTTTCATGGTCAATAAGAAATGATTAGTGATAGAGAAGGCTTGTGAAGAGGCATGCAGGCTCCATTATAGAGGAGCTAATAGAACACCCAGGTTGATTTTGTGGTTCCCTTGGTGGAACCAAATTGGGATCCCAATGACAGGGGAATGCCTGGATTTGGTTACTGCAAGAAGTACATTTTTGATTGGTTTCAGAAAGGGGGTTCTCAAAAGAAACCCTAATAAAATACAGGAATTCCAACAAAAATCTAATGAGGATCCCTTTGAGTTCTTGGAGCACATTTACCAAATGTACCAAAAGTATACAGATGCTGATCCTGAGGCACCTGAAAATATTCAGATGGCTAATATGACCTTTATCAGAGTGCTCCTGACACTAAAAGAAAACTGCAAAAGTTGGGTAAAGCATTAGGAATGAATCCATTGCAGCTAGTGAATATAGCATTCAAAGTATACTATGGCAGGGACTAGATACCAAAAAAGAGAAGATGCAAAGAGACAGGGTACCACTTTGTGGAAGCCCTGGGTGGCTCTCACAAATCCGGAGCTCTTTGGAAAAATAAGGGAGGTCCTTTAGTTGAAAATCAATGTGCTTACTGTAAGAAAGAAGAACACTGGAAGAAGAGCTGACCTAAATGAAGAAAGAATAAAAAGGCTAAGGAGGGGAAGGAAAGAAGTATCAAATGATCAAACAAGATGCAGGTGTCTATGAAGAATAAAGGGGCCCAGGGGCTCCCATTGATTTAATGAAGCCAATAGTAATTTCCCCACAGGAGCCCTGGGTAAAATTGACAGTGAGGAGTCAACTAATGGACTTTTAGTAGACCCTGGAGCCACTTATTCAGTTGTCAATACTAAAATAGTAAAAAGTTCTAGTAGAAAATCTCCATAATGTGGATTACTGGGGAATTACAACAAAAAACCTTTATGCAAGCTATGAAATATAAATTAGGAGATCAGAAACTATGACAGATTTCTGTACATGCCTGAGTGTCCCATCACCATAGTTGATTGAGACTTGCTCTGTAAATTGAATGCTCAAGTCACTTTTTCTCCAGGAAAAAAAGCAGTGAAGAATCCAAGTACCTCCTGGACAAGCTTAAAGACTGCTGGAAGATGAGGCTTTAAGATGATTCTGCTGGGAGATAAGGCTTCGACTGCTGACTTATTCCCACCTGAGATCTACGAAAAAGCAAGTAAGGCTGTATGGGCAGATGGGAACCAGGTAAAGCTAAGAATGTGGAACCTATTTCCATCATGTTGAAAGAAGATGCCAAAAAAAAATATCCTTTGAAAATGTAGGTTCTTGGAGGCATATAGCCAATCCTCCAAAACTTTTTAAAGTATTGGCTCATTAGACCTTGCAGGTCTTCCTATAATATTCCTATTTTAAAAAGTCATGTTCTCACCAAGACAGCATGGTATTGGCAAAAAACAGACACATAGACCAATGGAGCAGAATAGAGACTCCAGAAATGGACCCTTGACTCTATGGTCAACTAATCTTTGACAAATCAGGAAAAAATATCCAATGGAAAAAACACAGTCTCTTCAATAAGTGGTGCTGGGAAAATAGGACAGCTACATATAGAAGAATGAAACTGGACCATTCCCTTACACCATACACAAAGATAAACTAAAAATGGATGGAAGACCTCAATGTGAGACAGGAATCCATCCAAATCCTAGAGGAGAACATAGGCAGTAACCTCTTTGACATCAGCCACAGCAACTTCTTTCAAGACACATCTCCAAAGGCAAGGGAAACAAAAGCAAAAATGAACTTTTGGGACTTCATTAAGATAAAAAGCTTCTGCACAGCAAAGGAAACAGTCAACAAAACTAAGAGGCAGCCCACGGAATGGAAGAAGATATTTGCAAATGACATTACAGATAAAGGGCTGATATCCAAGATCTATAAAGAACTTCTCAAACTCAACACTCAAAAAACAAATAACCCAGTCAAAAAAATGGGCAGAAGACATGAACAGACACTTCTCCAAAGAAGACATACAAATGGCTAACAGACACATGAAAAATGTTCAACATCACTAGCCATCAGGGAAATACAAATCAAAACCCCAATGAGATACCACCTTACACCAGTTAGAATGACAAAAATTAACAAGGCAGGAAACAACAAATGTTGGCAAGGATGTTACACTGTTGATGGGAATGCAAGCTGGTACAACCACGCTGGAAAATAGTATGGAGGGTCCTCAAAAAGTTAAGAATAGAGCTACCCTATGACCCAGCAATTGCACTACTAGGTATTTACCCCAAAGATACAGATGTAGTGAAAAGAAGAGGCACATGTACCCCAATGTTCATAGCAGCAATGTCCACAATAGCCAAACTGTGGAAGGAGCTGAGATGCCCTTCAACAGATGAATGGATAAAGAAGATGTGGTCCATATATACAATGGAATATCATTCAGCCATCAGAAAGGATGAATACCCACCATTTGCACTGACATGGATGGAATGGAGGGGATTATGCTATGTGAAATTAGTCAAGCAGAGAAAGACAATTATCATATGGTTTCATTCATATGTGGAACATAAGCAATAGCCCGAAGGACAATAGGGGAAGGGAGGGAAATCCAAAGGGGGAGAAATCAGAGAGGGAGACAAACCATGAGAGACTATGGACCCCAGGAAACAAACTGAGAGTTTCAGAGGGGAGGGGGGTGGGGGAGGGAGTAATAGGGTGATGGGTATTAAGGAGGGCACATTTTGTGATGAGCACTGGGTGTTATATGTAACTAATGAATCATTGAACACCACATCAAAAACTAATGATGTACTATACAGTGGCTAACTGAATATAATTAAAAAAAAGTCACGTTCTTCTGAATACTGTTTTGTCCAAGATCTCTGGGCTATTAATGATATTGTACAAGAAATGCATCCAATTGTGCCCAATCCAAACACTCTCCCAACTGCTATACCTGGGAGATATGACTGGTACTTGGTCTTGATTTGAAAGATGCCTTCTTCTGTATCCTGATAGATGAGAAGACCCAACTGTTATTTGCTTTTGAATGGTAGGAACAAGATACTGAAACCACCCACCAGTATTGTTGGACAATTTTATCTCAGAGGTTTAAGAACTCCCCTACCATTTTGGGGGAATTACTGTTCAGAGACTTGACAATCTTTCAGTTGATAGAGGAAGTCCTCTTGCAGAATGTGGATGATCTACTGGTGGTTAGTCCTACTTATGGAAGGTATTTAGAGAATACCATCCTCTTATCAAATCATTTGGCTGACTGTGGATACAAAGTATCCCCCCACATGGTGCAAATTTGCAAACAAGAAGTAACTTACCTGGGCTTCAGCCTGACACAAGGGCAAGAAAGCTTATTGCCCGACAGGAAAAAGACTATTAGTGTGCTCAAAGCATCCACCACTAGGCACCAATTACAGGGGTTCCTAGGCATACCTGGATTCTGCCCCATTTGTATTCCAAATTATGGACTGATAGTTCAGCCCTTATTTGAGGTATTAAAAGGAATGGATGCTGAGCATCTAATTTGGACAAAAGAGTGCCAGAGAGCCTTTGATACTATAAAAGAAAGTCTGCTATCAGCCCCTGTTTGGGGTTGCCTGATCTAAAGACAGCCTTTAAATTATATGTTCATGAAAGACAAGGCATTGGATTAGGAGTATTAATCCAAATGCTGGGGGATCTTCCCCAACCTGTAGCCTATTTTTCAAAACAGTTGGAACAGACAGTCAAAGGATGGCCACCCTGCCTCCAAGCAGTCACTGTAGCTTGTGATACTTTACAGGACGCTGAAAAATTCACACTTGGCCAACCTATAACTGTCTATGTACCTCATTAATGCTACTCTGTTGGAACAGAAGGGTGGATTTTGTCTTACTGCTGGCAGAATGGGAAAATACCAAATGATTCTACTTGATAACCATAATGTGAAATTGCAAGTTACTTCTGCTTTAAACCCAGCAACTCTGTTTCCTGATCCCAATGATCATCTTGAATATGATTGTTTAGACATTGTGGACTTAGCATGTTCTGATAGGCCAGACCTTATAGACCAGGCTTTAGAGCATCTGGATTGGAAACTCTTTATGAATGAAAGTAGCTTTACAGAACAAGAACAGCCAAAGCCTGGATATGCTGTGGTGACTCTTGGAGATAATTGAGGCCAAGCAACTGCCCCCAGGAATCTCGGCTCAGAAGGCTAAAATCATTGCCCTAATGAAGGCTCTTCCTTTTGTTTGCTGGTGAAAAGGTAAATATATACACTGACTCTCACTATGCCTTTTTTTTTTAAGATTTTATTTATTTGAGAGAGAGAGAGAGTGAGAGAGAGCATGAGAGGGGATAGGGTCAGAGGGAGAAGCAGACCCCCCTGCTGAGCAGGGAGCCCAATGAGGGACTCAATTCTGGGACTCCGGGATCATGACCTGAGCCGAAGGCTGTTGCTCAACCAACTGAGCCACCCAGGTGCCCTCTCACTATACCTTTTTGATAGTGCATGCTCATAGTGCCATTTGGAAGGAGCAGGGACTCCTGATATTTAACAATAAGTATATTAAGCACTCTATGGAAATTTTAGCTCTACTGGAGGCTATACAACAGACATCTAAGGTGGCAATCATCCAGGACATCAAAGAGAGGAAACCCATGTAATGAAAGGAAATCAGCAAGCAGACATTGTGGCAAAACAGGCTGCTAAAGAAACTATTTTTGGGGTACTCTGATTCCTCATATATATCTCTCCAGTTATCCCTCGTATCCTGCAAGAGACAAGAAACAAGCTAAAGAATGGGGATTTACTGGGCGCCTGGGTGGCTCAGTTGGTTAAGCAACTGCCTTCAGCTCAGGTCATGATCCTGGAGTCCTGGGATCGAGTCCCGCATCAGGCTTCCTGCTCAGCAGGGAGTCTGCTTCTCCCTCTGACCCTCCTCCCTCTCCTGCTGTCTGTCTCTCATTCCCTCTCTCAAATAAATAAATAAAATCTTTTTAAAAAAATGGGGATTTACTAATACAGAGATTACATTCCTCCTGGAGGCCTCAATCTACAGGAAACACTGGAAAAATGAATCACACCTTGAAAAAAACTATAGCTAAAATTTATCAAGAGACTAACTTAACATGGAATAAAACATCGCCTTTGCACTGCTCAGGATAAGGGCAGCTCCCCAAAGCAGGTTGAAATTAAAGGACCTTTTGAAATTGTGCATGGGAGACCTTTCCAGGCTACAGTTTTGACCTCCTTGTCCTCTGAAATCAATCATGAATTAAATGTTATAGGATATGTTCAAAATTTAAGTTAAATATTAAATAGTATGCATGAGTTTGTTTCTGCTAGATTTAGTTACCTGACAAACGATTGCACCCCTTTGTCTCTGGTGATCAGGTGCTACTCATGACCTTGAGGGAACAGGGACCTGATCACCAACTTGCTGTGAAGTGGATGGGACCATATGACATACTGGTGACGACCTAATCATCTCTTAAGTTGGCTGCGGTGATACATCACAGATGGGTGAAGTGAGCCCCACTTGGGGAATCAGAAACACAACCTGAAGCTTCCTCATGGACATGTGAGTCAGTGGAACATGTATTCCACAAACTTACTTAAGCTTTTTATGCTATTTATTTTACTACTAAAATGGGCTTAATAGTACTTATAATAGGAGTTGGCATATATATGTTCATCAAGTTGATTACGATTTGCATAGCTAAGGGATGCTCTAAATGGGAGGAAACTAAGAGACAGTTCCCAGTTTTTAAGTCCTCATCTAGTAAGGGTACAAATTATTTTCTAAAACAAGTTCAGTTGTTTCACTCCATGACCTCCCTCCAATGTCCCAATTCAGCAGGAACTAGTTAGACTCTAGACAGCTTCCTTTTCCCTTTAGTTCTCTAAGGTATGGAAAGAAATAATTGACAGGGAGGGGATTTGTAGCAGGACTAAATTATAATCAGCACATTCCTGCACATCAACCCCTAAGCAAACAGTAAGCTTATAGCAATCAATTCTGTTTAGCGTTTCTCAAGGAACTTGAAGAACCTGGCCTATGTTAACTGAAGACACCTGGCTGATTGTTCAAGCCCAAGCAGCAGCTGTAGCTGGGTTTCTCACACACACACACACATACATAAAATTCTCTTACCCTTTTTAAAATCCCCTGCCTGCACTGAGATGGGAAAATGGCTTTTTTGGGATGTTTGTCTGACATCTTCTAGGTTAGCTGGATTTCTTGAATGCAGTCACTTTCTCTG